TTGGTCCGCAACCAACGGTACAATAGTGATCACATTTTGCTCGATGGAAAGGGTGTACACGAGGGACGTGTATAGAGCGCTCGGCTTTAGCACCGAGCTCGCAACGATCACGCACTACCTGCCGTGCATTGGGAACCGAACCTCCGACCCGCGCTGTGACGTGCGATCCAACGAGTGCGTGCTGTGCCCGCCAGGGTACCCAACGAGTTGCTGTCTCACGATTCAAGGCAAGTCGGACACCAATATGGACGGCGAGTTTACCTCCCATTATGGCATGGAGGCCGAGGGTGGCCACGCGATGCTCCTCGTTGGCTACAATGACGAGTATACAACCAAGGACGGCTACACGGGCGGCTACATCCTCAAGAATTCGTGGTGGGACGGTGTCGCGCGGCCGTTAGGACCTCCAAGTGCACACGGCAGCCACAGCATCCGCTACTTCATGCAGGTACCTCTTACCCTACCTCTACCCTAGCCCTCACCACTTTCTTTTTCTAGGAAATCTCCGAGTTTGAAGAGCGCTTCAACTGCCCCAACAGCGCCAACCCGGCCAACTGGTACCAGTGCCAAGGCCGCGTCGGCGTCATCCACGCCGATGCAGGTGTCATCCGCGCACCGATCAATGCGTCGCTTGTCGCGTACGACGAGTGCTTGAGCGACGACACGCGCCGTGACGCGGCCTCGTCCTTCTCGCCGCTTCGTTTGAGTTGCACGAACGACGCTTTCTGCAAGGCGAACGCGACCTACTTTGTGCGCAACAGCACGGCGGTCGGCGACGGCTTCCAGACGTTCTGCTTCTTCGAGTACCTTGGCGACAGCAACTCGAGCGACGTGTGCTTGCCGGCGATGCTGCCGACGGACATCGCGCACGCATTTGCGCCGGTTGAAGCGGAGGCGTATGCCAACAACCCGGACGTCTGCGGCTTTTACTTTTACCCGTACGCCAAGCAGCGCGCGGGTGCGGCCCTCGGCTGGGAAGTGAGCGCCGACGACCTCGACGTGACGTGGGCGCCGCAGTCATACGCGGCCAACGCGCACAAGTTCCCTACCCTCGACTACACACTTGTACGTTCAGATAACGCTCGCACGATAGACAACATCTCATGCCATCATGATGATACGTAGGTGCGGCAGTCGACCAAGGTGCAGAAGGCGGCGCCGGTGCTGGGCCCGATTCCCGTCTACGTCGCACGTGACGAACTCTAAGCTTTCGTGTGGAATCGCAGCCCAGTTTTGAAGGTCTGTTGTAGTTGATCCCATACATACAGGCGTTGTGCGGTGGTGAGCCCTGTACTCTTGTTGCACTCGTATTCTCGGCATCCTCGTCGCAATTCTGACGTCGGGTGGAACCTCGGCGCCGTTGAAAATAGCTCACGGTGTTCGTGCGAGCGATGGCTTAGTCTTGGCCTCTTCCTAAAGTCAAACCAACAACTTTTGGTACCTGTGGGCACGCAGCAGCAATGGCTTGGTCGAAGTGCGTCCTTGGTGCATCGGACCGTGATGTCGCTGGCAACCATTAGACCTTCGCGCCCAAAGACCTTTGAGGAACTACCAGCAGGCGCGCACTACCGCACTGGACCAAGGCTACCCACATCTACGCGCCTTCGTCATGGCGCACGCTCGTCTGGTCATCATGTCCGTGTCCAGAAGTGTCCATGCGCTTGCACTGCCCGTTCAAGTCCAGCCTAAAGTGAATGACCATTGATGGTAGGGACACGTAGCACGAACGCCACGAACGTCGCCCCCGCGTCCTTTTCCACGTTCCAGACTGTCGACGACATCCAACCAAATCGTCTTGGCCTCTTCTATAGCCCGCATTACCACCAAGTTCAGCCTAGCGTCACGGACTCCCGTGCGTCTCCGCAATGCGGCAATGCTTGCACCAACGATACCTCGTGTGCGTGTCGGTCGTGGCGAAGCTGTCTGAAGATCAAGTCGTATACGTCCTCCGTAGCATCTCTCGCCGACCCATGCCCACGGTTGCGCACGCGACAGAGATCTGCAAAATTGTCCAGTCCGTACGTCTGAAGCCGAGATCAAGGTCTTCCAGTGCTGCGCGGTCGATAGATAGCCAAGGAAGTTTACGTAGCGCCAAGCGAGAAGGCTTAACTGCGCGTGGTCGCCCTCTCGGGTGTGGCAGAGAGCGAACTCGGGTCCGGTCACGCCTTGACAAAACGGCGCCAAGTATCCAGCGTGTGGTATTGTTTTGTGGTCTACACCAATCAGAAGAACGAGATCCTCCAAACCCACCAATCACAGGCCCCTATTCACCATCTGTGCGACATCCTGGCTTGGCTTGGCTGCCAAGTCTCTGCATTTTTGCCAAGTGCCGAGGTAACTTCTTACTGCAAGGGTACAGAATAGTCATCGAATCTATACATGTACACTCTTGCTGCGTCTGTACAGTTGCCTCACCGTTTGGGAACTGGATCTCAAAGAATTACTGTGAATCGAAGTGCTTGCTGTTGGGTGACTTTGGCATTTATCCGGATTATTCCGGATTGCTCCGGATATGA